TTTTCTCACTGCTGAAAAACAAAAACAAAAAAACAAAAAAAACCCAAAAACATGGCTGTGTTTTTCTGAACTCAGTGGAACTCAATGTTCCAAAACACTGTTAAATTCAGTGCTACTCTTATAAAGACGGACACAGATTGTTGTTCAAGGTAGGGTTCGTGATTCGGTCCAGAAGCATTTTTTGTGACATTTATTGAATTTCTCTTTTCATCGTCTGTGGCAGCAGCTGGGCTGAAAAATGCCTGACCAATAATTTTACTCGTCCCAAGCAAAACCACTGGATGGCCTACCTGCCTGTTAACCTACTTCCTACTTGCACAGACTCTGCCCGTGGACTCAATTCGTAAGCCAAGAGTCTCCCACAAGACACTGCAGTTGCAGGCAGATGTGTTACTGATCCATTTTACAGCTAAAGCTGGCAAACTATGACAGAGAAGGTACCCGCAGCAGCTTTTGTTCACAAACGGAGACTGTTGTTACAGGCCTTCCCCTTTAAGACATATAGTCTTATAATGTTGTTGTTGCCAGAAGATGCTACCTGCATGCAGTGTGAGCAGTATGATGGCGAGAAGAGCGCAGAATGGAACAGACTCATTTTACATGCAGCCAGACAGTAGTCAGCTCTAATTGTATAGATAAGATTGTAATGCAGTTAACTCAGTATCAAAGGCCACACGCAGTGTTCATGTTACCAAGATGGAATCAAGTCTGTGTTCTGAATGGTATTAGCTGGCCTCCCTCCACTTATCCCCGCTGGAAAAGCCTGGACTTCTAAGGCCTGTTACCAGCTACGAGTCAGGGCTAAAGCAGTTTAGCCATGAACCAGAGGTTCCCAGCTACAGTTTGGGGGTGCAGATCTGGCCAGGTAACACCATATTTAAGAAAGTTACAGGTAATAAAAAGCTGGATGCTGCAAGAAGTGAAAAGTGTGGCTTCTGAACGATGGCAACAACAGACAACAAAAGGGGCTGAAAAGTGACACCATGGTGGCCGTATTTCTGCTGGACAGGTAATTATTGCTTATGTTTTGTTTGGGGGCATTTGTTATTTATTATTTGTGTAATTTGTAGTCAGGCAGTGCACGTTGCACTTCATGTTGTGTTTTGGAGGAGTGGCTTTAGAGAGAAGTCAGAACAAACAGGTGGTCTACTTTCAAAATCGAGCTTCCTCTTGCTGGTTTTTCCAGGATCGCCAACCCAACCTAAAACAGCAAAGTTTGACATACTCCACACTAACTCCAGGATGTGAAAATATCTAATTTTCCTACAGCTGACAATGACTTTACTCTCTTCTGGAACACTGTGTCATCTGTTTTAGTGCCTTTACCATTCTGATTCTCCCTGCAACATACTGTATAGTAACCTGTGACTCAAATGTCAAAAAAGGTCCCCGGTTTTACTTTAATTACTGTAAATTAAAATCTTAAACCTACAGTATGTAACTTTTTTCAAATATTTTTGTTGTAGAATTAGTAGTTGCATTCTCAGTTTTTGTAATTTCATAACAACATATCTGAAGAGCTGGGCGGAGGGTGGTGGAGCGCTGCAGATCGTAGTAGAGCATAGTGGACAAGGGAGGAGCAGAGTGGGTTGATTGGTGGCATTACGTTAGTGCTACCTTAAGTTACATACAGTAATGTTGCTTTAAATAGAGATGATAAAGTTCCCATTTCAACATTGTGACAACATCCTAACATTAATCCATATCATGTTGAAAAAAACTGACATCATTACTACCATGCATGAACTGAAAAAAAATCTATCTGAAAGTACTGCATTATAGCCAAACGTTTACCCAAGTTTACAGTACATTGCATCGATGTTTCTGGTAACTAGCTAATCCTGATTACTAGATTATCTTGATACTGGATAAGTACATTAAACTGCTTCAACAGACAATATTAGAAATATTAAAGCAAAGAGTGGAAAGGACAGAAACACTATCCCATGTTTCATGTATGTACTGTACATACAGGCTGTACAGTAAATAAGTGGTGGCTGGTCATCTTGCCCTATAATGTGGACCTAGATTTGACAGTCACCTATTAAGAAAAGGTTCCGACTCTTCTAATTATGTCATTGATATCAATGTACCTAAATTCCTGCAATGATTTACATGACCACCCTTAGTGATCTCTGTCTCTCTACAGGCTATTTGAAGCATCTTGCTTCATTACAACAATCCCATCACCTTTATATCTTACATTTCTATGTCAGTGTACAGTACTGTGCCTTTTAAGTCACTATTAGCTTGCACTATCTAAGCTTGCACAAAGGGAGATCTGAGATGAGGACAGTCAAAGCTGTCCTCAGATGACCCGTGTCACATGCCAACTCCTCTCTCGAGCACACAAAAACACATGCATGCTCTCATACTGTATACAGAGAAATAAGATGGTGTATACTGCCACACAAACAGGAATGCTGCAGAGCTAAGAAAAGTGTTTTAGTGCATGACAAGTCTAAGACAACAAAATCCAATAAATATTATAACAAAAACAAACCGCACATTTAGTAATCAGTTAGTCATGGCCTGAAATATTGGCACCCCTGCATTTCTGTCACATAACAGTTCACCTTTCTCAGAAAACTGGTACAAATTCTTTGGTATTCTTATGTTAATTTATTTGGTTTGCACTGGAACAACACAAAAAAGTTGAGAAAAACAAAGCCAAATCTGATACATTCCACACAGAACTCCAAAAATGGACTGGACAGAATTATTGACAGATTTTCAAAATCATCGGAAACTGTTGAATTTCAAGCATGTGATGCTCTTTTAATCTGTAAGCAATCAAAAGGTGTTGACAATATAGAAATCACACTTGTAACCAGTTCAAATGGAGAAAAGTTAACTCAACCAGTGTATACCACACTGAGCATGGAGAAAAGGAAGAAGAGGAGGAGGCTGGCCTACTTTTAGCCCATGCCTTGTGGACAAACCTGTACCTCAAGTAGAATGATATCTGCTTTCACTGGAGTTTGAACATTTGAAGATTATGTGTTCCTTGACTGACAAACCAACTGTGCCAGTTTTTCTTCCAGTGTAGCTAAAAACTGCCTCCAGCCACTGTAATACCAAATTTCATCTAAATGGGAAAGTACAAATTGGCTTCAGATTTTGATGTGATATGATTTGTCATGTACAATTGTTCAACAAATCTAAGTCATGCAGAGCTTTTCAGTGCTAATGCCCCTGAGAAACATTCCTGATAAAACCTGGCTGCTATGACACCCCTTACTGATGATGCCGACTAAGCACACATACCCCACTTCTTATCAAAAAATAACCATTCATTTAAATGTTTTCCTCTATTCAGTCATTCATGAATCCATATGCCGACCACCCTAAAGTTCAGAAATGAAATCAACATATAGGTTCCACTTTTAATGGACTTCCTGCTATTCTGTTATTACTCTACAAGATATACACATTTGGACTTGTCATTTGTTTACTTAAGGCTGAACTTTTGAACAGACCAGAAGGACACATCGATAGCCTGTTCACAATCTCTGCTCAAGAAGCAACACTAGAAAACAAAGTGGTGAAACATGAGAGGTGTCCTACACCCCAATATGACCTTGCAGTGTGAGGACATGCATGGTGGGACCTGTGTTCAAACAGGGTAACAGTTCAGAGAAGGCATAAGAGTAAGATGAGAGAAATCTATTATTAACCCAGTCATCAAGTCCTCAGATGACATTCACAGTTCCTGTTTTGTGTAGCTGCACCTGTGACTCCCAGTGGTATATTGGCATTTCAGCTCTGGCATCGGTCATCTCTCTTGATAACAATAAAAATTACTATCTCCTCTGCAATAGCAATTGGTATGACATAGTAATCACAGCTGTAGGAAGCTTCTTAATACAGAGTCACAAAAAATAAGGAACATCAAACATCTATAATTAAGTTTAAATGAATACCAGAAAGAACATGTTGAGCGTTTTAGGTGACAATGAACACTAGTGATATTTTACCTTCTAAAATGGTCCACTGGTATGTTTTTTTTTTTTTTTTTTTTTTTTTTTTTAATCTCACTTGACATTTATAAGCTAAACTGGACAGATAATAGAATAGTTTATTTTGCCTGGCTAGTTAAGTTTACTTTGTTAGCTAAAAGTGATGCACTTTTAGTGATATACTTGGATGTGGACTGAAATCAATTATGATTTTGTTTTTGTGTGGTTTTATTTTTATTACTGTCCTTTGTTTTTTCAGTGGTTAACATCTGATTTTTTTTTACTGAATCAGATCATTCATGTTTGCAGCATCTTTAGCAATTTGTGATTATCATCACACATTTCACACGCTTGTTTTCTGCTCCTCCATAATTAAGCTAAAAGAGGATAAAACCACTTTCCATGCCATCCTGATAACAAATTTCCTCTCGATAACATGCATCAGAAGTTTTAGTGCCTCCAAATAAACAAAACCTGTTATCAGAGGGAGGGAGGAAGGATACTGGTTGCTAAACAACATTTCCCAGCATGCCTGCTATAACACTATAATGAGACTACAGGGAGCTGTTGCTCTAATGTAGATGATGCAAGTCACTCTGACGTTGATGTACTGTCAGACCCAAACACCCAAAGGAACGGTCGTCTCAAACAGACTACAGCTTTTAGACATTTTGTACTACTTCAGGTTAATTCTGAGAGGTGAAGATTTGGATATTTAACATAATTACCTTTTTTATAAAAAACTGGATTGTGTTCACTGTTATAGACTCAGTCATAAAGTTATTTTAAAATTTATGTTTGTATGCAGTGTCTTCATTTAGTACCATTCTTTACTATGTGCATTATCATGTATGAGGTGGTGAGACTATGTTCAAGAATGAGTTAGTATTTTTACCACACTTGACATAAGCTAGGTTTTATATAGGAGTAAGTGACACAGTTCTAACCCCCTTTTCTTGTCATGATGTAAATAACTGTAATGATCCATAAATGCACCGTTTTCAGTTAGTGGCATGCATAAGTTCTCTGTTATACCCTCACCTGATAGGTGTCAAAGCTAGTGTCCCCGATGATGGGTGATGGGGCTCCGGGTGGTACTGGGGCCCTCCTCTTCTTGGTATCAGACTGGGGAGACATCCTAGGTATGTTTGTGGCTGAATGAGACTGGCCCAAAGTGCTGGACCTAACCTCTACACTGGGGACTGTAGACATTTTGGATAGACCCTGTGGGTAACAAAAAATAAATGCAATTAAACTTTGAAGAATTGCTCAGAGTTGACTGAGTTGTTGGTTCATCCAACATGTTATGTACCAAATTTAGAGATGAAACTTGTGGAAGGATTGTTGGGGGGAAAAGTTACTTTAAGGGCTTATTTTTGGTTTAAAACTGAGAACTGTCTAATAAGATCTTATTTTAAATCCAGATGAACACTGAAACTGATCTCAGAGGAACATTCCCACTTCCACCATTTCTGTAGGTATAAAAACATGCATACATGCAATTACATCACATGCAATCAAATATATACTGTAAGCTCCTGAAGGTACCCATGCTTTAGTCACAAGCATTGCGGAAAAATGTATTTGACCAATTCAAATATGTAACCACATTTACAAAGGTTGGGTTCCTGAAGCTCTGGAATAAAAAGTGGCTTTCAATATCTGATCAAAGAGAGCCCGAGGTGCTTCTGAAAACTTGAAACTCCCCATGGCTCAGGCTGGTACAGTACAAGGTCTTGGCATAACAGGGAAACCAAACCTTCCCATGATCAAAAAAAAATGTTGAAAAGCAAATTAACTGATGTGTTCAGACAATGCCTGGATACCGCGTAAGAGCAGAACAAAAAGGACCATAAAGTTCAGGTCATTAGAACTAATTGGACCCAAGGTTAGAACATCTCACTGTGGGGAGGGATAACCACCAGAAAGGAAAAATGGAGAACAGTACTTTAAAAAATAAAATAAAAAAGTCTTGAGAAGTCTAGCTTTTTTCCCTCACATTTAGAAAAAAAATGTTTTTGTTTCGACTGTTTTGATTTATGCAGCATGCAAAATAACGTCTTATTGGGGAGCTCACTGCACTAAAGTTAAAGAGAGGGAGTGGTAACATAAGAGAGAGCAACAATAGTATTTATATTAATGAGATTCAAGTCAAAACCCACTAAACCTTCATTTATAAATAAATCATCTTTTGACTTTAAAAGACAACCCAACTTCACATTGCAAAGTGGCTTCATAGCTGGTACATTCACCAAAAGCATATCCAGACAGTTAAACATGCTCATTTTTGTAGGTTTATTGTAGGTGCAATTCTCAAGAGGTATGGTGGAACAGTGGTTAGTATAATGGAAATATGAATAATCATGATGGTTAGGTTAATATGCATACTGTTTATTTATTTGTACTTCTTATTCCTATAACCTTATGTTCCTCTTTTAGTCTCCAGTTAGACATTCCACACAGGTTCCTTCACTCTGCACGCACACATATGTACACACTTCATACACACATGCCTACTTCACTCACACCCAGTCTCAACTGTTGCACAGCCAAGCCTGTTGGATACAAAGCCTAACAGTTATTTATTTTTATTTGTCACTCACTGTCCCTTTGCTCAAAGTGTGTGACTTCTTGATCAAGATACTGGTATTGTGCTATTGACCGACTACTTAAGAAAGTACACAAAGACAACCTGAAAGCCTCTTTATTGATTTCCCCAACAGTTAGCGCTAAAGTTTCACAGCAAGAAGGTTGGAGCCAACGCAGTGCCTTTTTCTGTGAAGTTTCCATGTTCTCCCTGTGCCTGCATGGGTTCTCTCCAGGTGCTCCGGCTTCCTCCCACAGCCCAAAGACATGCAGTTTATGTTGACTGGTGACTCTAAATTGCCCGTAGGAGTGAGTGTGGGTGTCTATCTCTAAGTGTCAGCCCTGTGATAGACTGGCGACCTGTCCAGGGTGGACCCCACCTCTCTCACCCAATGACAGCTGGGATTTGCTCCAGCCCCCCCCCCCCCCCAGCGGTTGGCGGAGCAAAACAACAAAAGGTTGGAAGTGAAAGGTTTATGTGAAAAAAAAGAAAAAAAAAAAAAAGAGGATGTTTCTCACCTCACCAAACACAATGCTCAAAGCAGGAAATTCACATGAACTATCCAACTTTTCCTACTCCTTCCCCTTGCTAAACAATCTGAAATATGTCAAAACAGAAAGAGAGGAACACAGGAAATCCAACACCTGAGAGAACCTAAACAGTGTGCATAACTTGAAGGGAACCTATTGAACCTGTGCATAACCACCAACATGGCCTGCATACTGTATCTCCAGGGAATCCCCTTCAGTGCTTGAAGGACTGATACCACTACAAAGCACACACACACAAATATAAAAATGATGGCCTATCAATCATGTCAGAATCATTTCCTACTAATAACTTGGAAAGTTCATCTTATTTCAACATGGAGGAGAATCCTTCCAAACCTACCTATAACAAGGGGAACAAGTTCTCTGTCCACCAACTATATCGGCTCAGACCCACTCCAACACATTCATCGTTCATGTGTTCCCACTTTTGTCAGTTTAATACGGAGGCAGCAGCATTAATGTTATTTCCCAAAAAACAAAAGTGGCCATAAATGTGCATCTGTGCTCAGTTTCACAATTACCCCCCAAAAGAACTGCAGGCACTTAACATTATAACATTTATCTGGATATGTGTGTGTGTGTGTGTGTTAAAGATGGCTCCAGTGCCTTATCGAGCCAAGCTTTCTGCCCCACCCCAAATCCTGAACTCAAAAATGAAACTCAGCACAACATAGTTCTCAGTCTTTTCACATGCTTTCAGCAACTATTTAACACTGATAGTGTTTAGAAACAAATCACTGATTTTGCTTTACCACAAATTTAACATCTGTGTTTATCTTTGATTGTGCTAGACAAAAAAAATGAGGCATCATCAAAGTTTATCATTTCAGGAAAAGGAATGTCATGTCTGTAACAAATTTCATGGCAATCCACTAATTAGATTATCACAGCACACTAACAGAGGTGTCTATATTTTTGTCCTCCCGAGCTACATACATGAGGGGGTCAGAATATTAGGAACACCTCTGAATATAATGTAGTTCAGTGCAACACCACCTTTAACTAGGACCTCAATAATGAAACAGATGGTAGGCACTCCATAAGTGAATAAAGATGAAAATGTTTATACTCTTATGCCAATAAGTGGGAGTACTGGTTAGGGCTTAGCTGCTACTCTTAAATACTTAAACATGGTCAGCAATATATTTTAAAATCCCTCCTGACTGGCAGCAAGCACATATTTTCCTATTTTATATCAGTGTTCTTGAACATGCCCCCCCCCCCCC